TAAGGACTCTTGGTGAAATGAAATTGCGATTAGAAGTCTATCATGAATGCAAAAGCCTCAGTGTCCGGGGGCTCCTGCGGACCAGATTTATGCCCCCACCAAAAATTAAACCTATGCCCTTGCCTGCTTGCCTCCTACAGCAGTGCTGCAGTGGCTTAAGAGTGAGATTTTACGGTTTAAAGACTAGAAGAGAAAAAACACCTGTGATTTGTCTTTTGCAACACTTAAAGCACTTTTTGGCCACTTTTTACTGCTAGCTGTCAAATGCTAACATTACTGCTAGGAGGTTGAGTGTCACACCTGTGTTTATTAATCTCTACATCGCTGGATTTCTTTATTGCTGTTAGGGGGTTACCAGTGGTTTTATGGCGTATATGTGTAGTGCATTAGAACAGTGATAACCAAAAACAGAAAAAGGTATAAAATCATTCATTCTGTCGTGCCGATGAGGCTGAGGGTCACACTGCCGTGCTACAGAACATCACATCACAAATAACATTAAATACTTGTTTTGGGCAGAAGTGCTCCTTTAAAGGAATACTACAGAAGACCCTGGACTCCCTCCTCCCTATGTAGGTCATAAAACAACTTCTACCTCTACACCCAAATAGTGCATCATGTCTTATCAAAAGCCATTAATATTCAGCCATAAACTGTATGACATCCTATCTAACATACAGTAGAGTTTTTGTTAGAACCCATAGTGTCATGACCTGTACAGTGCACTCTTTAGGAAGAGCCATTTGTGATTCAGCCTTAATCCGTAGCTTAGGGGCGATCACCACAGACAATACTTTCCCTGAACTTCGAACCTGTTGATTCAAAACACTCTTATTATATGAATTCCATTAAGGTTTATGTGAAACACATTTTTGTAAAACTCTGAATTCCTCAATCAAAAGTATTTATAAAATAAGCTGTAAATCTTTCTGATTTGCCCGTTCAGAGATTGACCAGTGGGAAAACTAATTAAAAGGGATCTGCTTTTCTACCATGTTTCTTCTGTGGTCAAAAGTTGGACAGTACAGTTTCCTCTCATGTCCGTGTTGTGCGTTTAACAGCAGCAGTTTCAAATTTGCATTATCTGAGCGCTTTTCTAACAGGATTAGCTTTAAATGGGGAGGTGGGGGATGTAATTCTACACACAGGCAGCCTGTAATGTTTATGACTGATTCACACTGCCAACATTCACAAAACTTCCATACACAGAAATGCAAATGAAACTACACATTTTGCATTTGAATGATGTCTTAAATAATGTACACTCGCATGGGAAACGTTATTATAAACACACAACTAGCATTTTCAATTTTGCATTTGGATTTGAAAAAACTCTGGAAAATGCTGCCACAGCTAAGTAGCTGGTGAGGGGAAGATTTAATTAAACGTTTGGGCTTGTTTTCTACTTGAGAGCAGAATGTATTGTATATGGAACGTTCTAGGTATGCTGTCAGTGTGAATCGGTCATTAAAATTAAAGGCAGCCTCTGTGTAGGATCCCCTCATATAGCTGCCTCAGGTGAATGCAGTACGTTAATTTACAGCCAACATTTCTCCATAAAATCACTTTTCATTTTACATGTTTCAATTTTGAGTCTTACACTTCAGGGACATGGGTTTGATTTGAGCCACGGAATAAAAGTAAATGCTTCTTCAAGTAACATCATATTTAAGAAGAACTGAGAAAACTCCTTACGTACAATATATGATGCAATATTTACCAACAGGGCAATTTACATGAGACTGAGTTAAGCTGTTGCTAACTCTATGCTGTGTTTTACAGTAGGTAAAAGTCACTGGAGCTATTTTTTTTTTTTGTCATTGCCAATTCCACCCACGGACTGGGTTTCAGGATGCAAGCCAAGGACTCCGCCAGGGATTCAGGTCCCTAAAAAGGCATCACATTGCGCCCCACCGCTCCAGTCCACACCAACGCTGAAAATATAGCACTTTGCAACATTCTGCATACAGTGGAACTTAGTATTTGATGAGAGACTGATACCTGCTCTCTGAAAGGTGCTAAAGGCCATGTTATACCATTTAAAAGAGAAATTTCTGCAACCCCCTGCGATTACAACTGACATGTCATTCAACACAACGCTGCTAACCTCCTTCAGTTGAGAGTAGGGGTGGTTAGTTGGTAGGGGTATAGTAGGACAGTGGGATACCATAGGATGGTATCCCCCTACCGATTAACTATAACTATAATTATGGTGATACTCTTTGGCAGGTTCATTGGTAAGAGTATGGTGATGATCTTTGGCAGGTTCATTGGTAAGAGTATGGTGATGATCTTTGGCTGGTTCATTGGTAAGAGTATGGTGATGATCTTTGGCAGGTTCATTGGTAAGAGTATGGTGATGATCTTTGGCAGGTTCATTGGTAAGAGTATGGTGATGATCTTTGGCTGGTTCATTGGTAGGGGTATGGTGATGCTCTTTGGCAGGTTCATTGGTAAGAGTATGGTGATGCTCTTTGGCAGGTTCATTGGTAAAAGTATGGTGATGCTCTTTGGCTGTTCATTGGTAAGAGTATGGTGATGATCTTTGGCAGGTTCATTGGTAAGAGTATGGTGATGCTCTTTGGCAGGTTCATTGGTAAGAGTATGGTGATGCTCTTTGGCAGGTTCATTGGTAAAAGTATGGTGATGCTCTTTGGCTGGTTCATTGGTAAGAGTATGGTGATGCTCTTTGGCAGGTTCATTGGTAAGAGTATGGTGATGATCTTTGGCTGGTTCATTGGTTAGGGTATGGTGATGCTCTTTGGCTGGTTCATTGGTAAGAGTATGGTGATGATCTTTGGCAGGTTCATTGGTAAGAGTATGGTGATGATCTTTGGCAGGTTCATTGGTAAGAGTATGGTTATGATCTTTGGCTGGTTCATTGGTAAGAGTATGGTGATGATCATTGGCAGGTTCATTGGTAAGAGTATGGTTATGATCTTTGGCAGGTTCATTGGTAAGAGTACGGTGATGATCTTTGGCTGGTTCATTGGTTAGGGTATGGTGATGATCTTTGGCTGGTTCATTGGTTAGGGTATGGTGATGCTCTTTGGCAGGTTCATTGGTAAGGGTATGGTGATGATCATTGGCAGGTTCATTGGTAAGAGTATGGTTATGATCTTTGGCTGGTTCATTGGTAAGGGTATGGTGATGATCATTGGCAGGTTCATTGGTAAGAGTATGGTTATGATCTTTGGCAGGTTCATTGGTTAGGGTATGGTGATGATCTTTGGCTGGTTCATTGGTTAGGGTATGGTGATGATCTTTGGCTGGTTCATTGGTTAGGGTATGGTGATGCTCTTTGGCAGGTTCATTGGTAAGAGTATGGTGATGATCTTTGGCTGGTTCATTGGTAAGAGTATGGTGATGATCTTTGGCAGGTTCATTGGTAAGAGTATGGTGATGCTCTTTGGCAGGTTCATTGGTAAAAGTATGGTGATGCTCTTTGGCTGGTTCATTGGTAAGAGTATGGTGATGCTCTTTGGCAGGTTCATTGGTAAGAGTATGGTGATGCTCTTTGGCAGGTTCATTGGTAAGAGTATGGTGATGCTCTTTGGCAGGTTCATTGGTAAGAGTATGGTGATGATCTTTGGCTGGTTCATTGGTAAGAGTATGGTGATGCTCTTTGGCAGGTTCATTGGTAGGGTGGTTGAGATGGGGAGACAGGGTTGCTATGCCTGAAGCTGCATGTGTTGGGCCTGGCGCCAGGCAGGGGTAAAGACAACTGATTTAGTATGAATAAAATGAATAAAAGCTAAAAGTTTGCCCGCATTGATTAAATGTTGGCTTAAAGGAGTGAAATGTAAATGCTCAGAGTTTTGTGTGAAGATATTAAGGAACTAATGTTAGGGGGGGCGAAGTAGCCTATTTCACTACGGACTACGCTAACAGGTTCATTTCCATCTTTCCCACCTTTCTATGTGAAAAACAGGCAGACTGTCACCCTTTTCTCTCTCCTGTCTTTCTTTTCATTATTGGAGCCAGATTTTTCCTTTGGGAAACTGAGACATGATGCTCCACTGAAACTCCTCACTGCTAACAAATACTGTTTGTCTGTTTTGGGGGCAGGACCGAACCATTTCATGGTCCCAATCTAACAAGCTGGAAAGAAGGAGGCGAATACAAGCTTCCTCCTCAACATTTGAAGCCACTGCATCTTGTCAAACTGCTGATTATGCAACATCACAGAACAGTTCAACACACTTGGAGGAGAACGCTAACTGCCAGTTCTGCTACATTGGCTAACGAATGCCTTGTGTTCCGCTGCATAATGAGGGGAGAGGGAGGGCCATCCTACCACACAGAGAGAGCGAGGCCTATTAGGTTCTCTTGGACTCCCAGTCACGGATGGCTGTAGACGCTGGAATCTTTACTATCTACTCAACTTCCTGTAGAAATGTCTGACACAGCTGATTCGAAAGGGACTAAGAAACAACGGCAATCATTACCTCACCTCATTCCATCCACTTAGGATTTTAGTCACAGTTTTCAAAAGTTCCCAGCTGCTCAATGAGTGCTTTTTTACTGTGAGTGAGGGTCAAACCAACAGGTGCTGAATTCCCAAGTACAGGGAAACACGTCAGCGTTAGTGTACACGGTAATGAATTGTATGGTTCGACTGTTGCATCTAGAAACTGAAAAATGATTCCTTTCAGTGTGTGTGTGTGTGTGTGTGTGTGTGTGGCGGGGAGGGGGGGCGGTGGATCATATATGGGATAAGTGGTGTATTGTATGGCTGTAAAAGCTCTACATTCAGAACTACAGTCAAACGCCTTTCCAGTGTACTTCTCAATGTCAGTTTGGGTCCAGGCAAGGTTTCCTTTACTTGTGGTAATGTTTCTTATTCCTGCCCATCTGACTGGATCTCTGTGTTTACACACTCTCCATTTTCACTTTTTCATCTGAATAAAGAACAAAATAGGAGTCTTTCTCACATAAACACACACACACATGCGCACACACAAACAGAGTAAAGAGAGTCTCTTGCAAACAGAGCCGTCAGCAGTAAGACCACATTTTCTCTTTAATGTTCTTTAGAAACAGCTTCTGCAGTCTGGTGGTGTTTGATAACAACAGACAAAAAGTTTGAGTCACAGCGAAGAAGAGAGAGAGAGGGAGAGAGAGAGAGAAAGAGCACGGGATGAGGACCAGGCTGTGGGGGAGGAAAAAAGGGTGACAGCACGGTGCACTCTATGTCTGAAATTATAACAATGAACGAATAGAAAAGAGAAGAATGCATGATTACAAAAAAAAACCCCTCGCCTTGAGGAGGAAGACACAGTCTTTTTTTTCTTAGAACGTGACGAGTGCTGTTCTCAAATAAATCAATGCTCACAATGACAGTCAGTTCATAGTAATCTCAGTTCACTTTAGTATAAATTTCTAGGAGTAGTCTTTGAGTAGAGGGAACAGAGAATGGGCTGGGGAAAGTGCCGTCCAGTCCAGAGGGGGCGCTGACAGTTTTCTCGCTCACTGTAGGAACTTTTTATTGGTCAGAATTATGGCTGAGGGACGTGAGGGACAGGCGTTTGGCCCCTCCTTTGTTCCGAAGGCTCACCCTGTAGCTCCAACGTTATGTCTATAGATGTGTTGGTCTTCAGGTTTGCGGTTTGCAGATGAGAGTTTTGTCTCTTTGTGCTCTCCTGTAGATTTCCTTGACCGTGGCGTGCAACTTGTGCTGTAGACAGATTTCCCGGTGAGCAATGAAATGGAGAAGCCCCATGTATCACGATGATGGATGGCATACTTGGGTGAACTGCCATGGGAGGAGCTATATTTGACCACATCACTTCTTTTACTACCATCTGCCCAATGGTTCTTGTAATATGCAGTGCCTTCCAGAGCACACAAACCCACGGCTAAGCAAACAAGACGCACTCAGACAGTCCCTGGCACAGAGTACCTCTCCACCTCAAAGACTGAGCCCCACTAGCAGCTTAAGGTCAACAGACTTCAGTGTGCTTTGAAAAAAAAGGTAGGTATTCCACATAAATGTGATGAAACATAAGGACATAAGCGCAAAACCCGCCTACGCGTGAGCTGAGCTTCAGTATGGCCACATCTCTGTCTAAAGCTAGAGAGAGACTGAGTTAAGTACCCTCCCTTTAATGCTGACAGGCTAATTCTTTAGCACAAGCGTACCTGAAAGCGCCCGTGTTAATATTTGGTTGCTGTGTCTCGCCCACGCACTTCGCCCTGCTGAGAACAGCGTGCATCAGCGTGTCCGTGGGCCGAAGGCCCAGTGCTTGTGATGGGGAGAAGATAATGGCCGTGGTCCAGAGCACGGTGGGTAACTAATGAGCCTGCAGTGCTGTGTAGGTTGGAATGTGTGCAAAAACATATACTGCTCGTCCTCCATCGCTTGTTACCGAATATGTGGCGTGTATGTTTGTGACCTTGGATCTAAATTGTGTTTGTACAGAACATCGGAGAACACAGGGACAGAGTCTACAAGGCTTTTACCAGCTCTTGGGGAAGCCAGAGCCAGGTATGTGAATTTCACCCCATCACGTACTGAAGTCCAGGCCTTTTAAAAAAAAAAATCAGGCTCGTGATTTAGAGTTTACCACATAAACACGTTTGATAACCGCACACACTTAAGAACGCACACATACAACCATACAAACCCACACACGCACATTAGTGTAGGAGCCAGAGTAGATTGAGGACTGAGTTAGTAGTCGAGTGTAACCACAAAGAAAGGGCCATGTTGGCTCAGCGCTGTATAAAGGTTATGAGGGGAACCAGCAGGGTGACAGGAAGGAGCAAAGAATGCACCAGTGACATTGCTCTGTTGGTGGCTCTCTGAACCCCACTAGGAGGCCCTACCGAGGTCCTTGGGATGCACTTGTTCTTTCGTCTTGGTGGGGATCCTCCGGGATTTGAAGGGTCATATTTGCCGTCCCCCTCCTTACTGCCCAAGTCTTTAAGGCTGTACACCTCGTTCTGGCTTTTGCCCTTCCGTCCGCGGTGCCTTGTGCAGTTCCTGTTGCGCCCCGCCTTTGGCGGCGCAGGCAGTGGGGATGACGAAGGGGGGAAGTGTTGGTCCTGGTGAGGCAGGTGAGGGTGGTGATGGTGGGAGTGGGATCGGTGATGATGATCCTTCTTCAGAGACACCCCTACATCCCCCTGGCTGGACTTGCTCTGGTGCAGGGACTCTGAACCGGTGCAGGCAGGCAACTCCTCCTTTTTCACCCGCTTCAGGTCTTTCCCCGCAAGCTCCGGTGGAGCCATGCACACCACCGAGGAGGTGGAGCCTCGGAAGCGCCGCAGCCAATCCCAGAGCGGCACGGCTTTGCAGTCGCATTCCCAAGGGTTGTCGTTGAGTCGTAGGTACTCCAGGGCTGGCAGCATTGCGAGGCTCTCGGCGGCCAGCTCCGGGAGGGAGTTGTTGAACAGGTAGAGTGTGGTCAGGCGCCGCAGGTCATGGAAGGCCAGCTGATGGATCCACTGGAGCCGGTTCTGGTGGAGTAGCAATCGGTCCAGGGCACCGAGGCCACGGAAGGTGTTCTGGTGGAGGCTCCACAGCCTGTTGCCATGCAGGAAGAGGTGGCTGAGATTCAGGAGGTCCACGAACATGTCGTCCTCCAGGAATTCCAGCTGGTTGTCCTGCAGAGAGACAGTTCAGATATTACTACAAAGAGTTCAGCAGTCAGACATCCAAAAATTTGCCTTCAATAGCCTTAGTTTCAGCTCAGAACTACTGAGTTCATTAAGAGCCAAGAGTCCATTCATTTTACTCCCAGTCAGTAGTTCATGCACATTGCAGAGAGAGGAATTCATTATCAGATATGTCTCCTTAAAAGGGACAAAAATGCTTTATTTTTCACTTCCTCATTTAGCATTGGGACCCTGGGCTCACGCTCAGCACAACCTGAAGCCCTATACATGTACACACGCAAGTATGCCACTTTATTAGGCATACTTACTTTATATCTACTGTTATTGTCCATTTTATCAGATCGCCTTATCATATAGGTGCACTCTGCAGTTCTACAGTTACAGACTGTAGTCCATCTGTTTCTCTGCACAAATTTTTAGGCCTTTCTTTATCCTGTTCTTCAGTGGTCAAGACCTCCACAGGACCACCACAAAGCAGGTATTAATTGGCTCATTCTCAGCACTGCAGTAACACTGACGTGGTGGTAGTGTGGTAGTGTGTGTTGTGCTGGTACGAGTGGATCAGACACAGCAGTGCTGCTGGAGTTTTTAAACACTGTGTCCACTCACTGTCCACTCTATTAGACACTCCTACCTTGTCAGTCCACCTTGTAGATGTAAAGTCAGAGACGATAGCTCATCTGCTGCTGCAGTTTGTGTTGGTCATCCTCTAGTCCTTCATCAGTGGTCACAGGACGCTGCCCACAGGACGCTGTTGGCTGGATATTTTTGGTTGGTGGACTATTCTCAGTCCAGTAGTGACACTGAGATGTTTAAAAACTCCAGCAGCACTGCTGTGTCTGATCCACTCAGACCAGCACAACACACACTAACACACCACCACCACGTCAGTGTTACTGCAGTGCTGAGAATGATCCCACCACCCAAATAGTACCTGCTCTGTGAGGGTCCATGGGGGCTCCTGACCACTGAAGAACAGGGTAAAAGGGGGCTAAGAAAGTATGCAGTGAAACAGATGGACTACAGTCTGTAGAACTACAAAATGCACCTAAGTGGAGCTGATAAAACTGATAATGAGCATATATACATATATTTCATGTAGTACAGAGAGTGAGTGTAGGGTGTCAGTGCTAAATGATTTTTTCCCATTTAAATTTTCATCACCGGACGTCATGTTGGTCTTTCCTTCATTGTAACAAGAATGAATTTGTGCTGCCAAGAACGTACAAGATATTGAACATTCTGAACAGCTTCTGTCATGCTTTAGTTGGCAAGTTGGATGTATCCTCAACAACAGCAGGAACTGGGAGCACTGCCAGACTGATAAATTGATGTCTATACAAGACTTTACAAATGTTTGCAGGCTTGTTTTTGAGCCAAGACAAGTGTGCCAAGCTAAGCATTTTATAGATTCACATTCAACTTAATACAGCTTAAAGCAATATGAAGAAAATCTGACATATTGGAGATGTGAATCACTTTTACAGGGATCAATTACTGAGATTAAGGCCTGAAGAAGACCTCTCTGTATCCCTGTGAATTAAACAAGCTGTTTTGTTGCTCTTTTAAACTAATAGTTTGGCAACAAATCAAATTTACATGATTTTCTATCTACTTCAATCAAATTTACAGTCAATCAGCCAAGTCATGATTTGCCTCTTTAGTTTAGAATTGGAGCTGCCAGGCTAACAGTGCGAACACAGAAATGACTTTGTTTCCACAAATACATGCCAAAATCTTCATATATGTGATTCAAATTTTGTCAGTAAGCTTTGAAAACTCATTTAGAAAAATACACTTTGTTAAAATATTATGGATTGAGCTTCTTTACACGTTTCAGCTTCATTATCATTAAACATAACGTCCCAGTTTCCAATACAGTTCTGCCTTCAAAGTGTAGGAGGATGTAGCACAGGGGCGTATATCATCACTGCACAGGTACATAGATTTAGCACAGTAATACTTGCTCACTGTATCAGAGATAAAAGTTACACACTGAATAATGATAAACTATGAAATTGTGTTGCATCCCATTTTACAGAAACAGGTAGTCTGGTATTTTACCACCGATTATGCAGACACATGCGAATTGTGGCCACAAACAAGCAAGACAGAAGTTCATTAAAGTTACCCTGCAAAAAATCTCTGTACATCGTGGTCATTTTTCACCCCACATTACAAAGAAGGCCTCCAGTGGGTCAGTCGAAAATCTACAGCTACACTGCTGCTTGAACGTTTGTGAAGCATCATGTGAATTTCTGCAAAAGTTTGACCTAAAATGAGATCAGATCTTCATGTAGGACACAACAATAGATGAACAGAACCCAGTAAAGCAAACAACACAAACAGTTTTATAATTTTTCACTCATTTATTGAACAAAGTGATCACATTTCTGTTTTTGGTCAGGAAAAGTATGTGAAGCTCTAGAATTATCAGTTTGGTATAGGTGATAATTAGGGTCAAGTGGCTCAGTCTGTTGGAAGACAATCAGTTAGCGTGTGGCTGACCCCACCCTATTTAACCCCTTATTCTCCTGGATATATTTGATTTTTTCCATCTGAATTTACACGACCAAATAGTAAGGCAAATTATTCAGTAACTGCATGAAATAAATGTACATTTTTGGGTTTTTATTGTAAAAGCTTTCCTCAAGTGAACAAAGAAATTGTCATGTATCCTCCGAGTACCTCGTTGGATTCGGACTCAATCTCCCAGAATCCTCTGGGAGATCACATGACCTCCACACAGCCAACAATGCCGACACTAACCTGGACTCAACATCCCAGAATTCTACGGAAGATCACCTGACTCCTCACGTGACTTCGCGTTCTCGTTCACCTGAATTCTAATGGGTGTCACCTGTGTTCTTGGTCATATGACAACTCTAGTTTATAGCCCGGGCTTTAGCCTAGGGACTTTGCGAGGTATTGTATCCACTGTGTGATCTACTGAGCGTTCATTCCATTGTAAGTTTTTTCGTGACCTTTGCCTTTCGTTTCTCGACTTTGCCCTTTTTGCTCTGCCCTTCGGATTATTTGCCATCGTGTACGATCTCAGATTTTTGACCTTTTGCCTGTATTCCTGACTACGTTTTTGCCTCTCCCTTTTTGGACATTCCACCTGGTGTTATGATTGAGTGTTTGCTTCTTTTGTGCTTTCTGGAATTGACCCATGATTGTTTTGTGACGTAAGTAAAGCCTCAGTAAAGCCTCCTTGGAGTTTTACATCTGTGAGCGTCTGAATCTGCTTGGCGCGTTACAGAAATGTGTTTTATGATACACATATCGCTATATGCTTATAATTTACTGCTGAAAGCCAAAAATCTTAGACGCTCTTTGTATTATTTTATAAAAATAATGTTTACAGAGCAGATCACTGAAGAGACGCCATCTGTTTATAGTTTATAGCCCAGATTTGTGAAAAATGGGTCGACTTTCAGTAGAAAAAAACTGAGTTCAGCTTCTTTTATTATAAGGGTTTAAAATTACATCACCATCTATTTGACTGGAGAGAAGACAGTTACAGCTCTCATATGACCCCCACCTTTAGAATGAAGCTTATGAAATATGAAAGTTATGAAGAATATGACGAAGTGCGTTTTGGAACCACTGGTGGTTCCAAGGAGTTCAAATGGTTAAGAAACATCTTCACCATCAAAGTCTGGTCTTTACCACACACATTTGCTAGTCTTGCCATGTCTCAGTCAAAGGAGTTTTCTGAGCACCTCAGAAAAACAGCTGGCAAAGCTCATTAGGCTGAAAGAGGCACCAAAAAAGTGAGTTTGGACTTTACCAATCAAACGGAGAACATTCAGTACCACTGATACCATCCCAGGAGAGGTCATCAAACAAAAATCACTCCAAGAGTAAGGGGTGTATTATTTTGAGAGATCACAAAAACCCTGGGGTACCATCTAAAGATCTGACCTCTCTTACACTGGCTAATGTCAGTAGAGTGTGAGTGTGTATCGGTCAGCACTGAGAGCGGCCACTACTGTCCAGTAAGAAGACTGCTGCCTGTTAAAGGCTAAAGACCAACTGGATGAAGAAGACTACTAAAATCATGATATATGAACAAAAAATCTTTATGGCTTCATTGAGAAATGTTATGTAATGTTAAGCGGTTTAGGGTTTTGCTGCTATTGGACCAGGACAGCTTGTTATCATTTGATGAAGCTATGATTTCTGGATTGTCTCAAGAAATCTTTTAAGTTTTTCTAAATGTGTTCTTGAGAAAGGTCTCTGTCAGATTCATGACGTGTTCTTAAAGTGCAGAACTGTTCTCACCTCTGTGCTCTTGAGTGTGTGTAGATTCTGTTCTTCCCTAAGAACAAACCCCACATAAGAGAACACTGGTGAGTCAGAGTCTTCGTCAAAACTGTGTAAGTGGGTCTTATGAAGAAATTTCCTCTTAGGAACCGTTGGTGAATGAGGCCCCGTGTTAAGGCATCTATCTGTGAACTGAACCACTACAGAGGTTGGGTCCTACGGAAAGACAGCGACACTAAAAACACCAGTTAGTCTGCAATGAATGGAGTCAAAGTCCAGACCTTATTCCAACAGAAATGTTGTGGCAAGACACAAAACGTACCGTCCTTGCAAGAAAGCCCACCAGTACCACGGAGTTATAGCAGTTTTCTGCGAAGAGGAATGAGCCCAGTGACCGTGCAGGGCTGATCAACACTTACAGGAGCCCTTTAGCTGAAGTCACTGCTGCTCAAGGGGGTCACACCTGTTACTGAAAGCACAAGTTCATATTCTTTTGTTGAATCACTTTGTTCAGTAAGTGAATGAAAAACTGTATGATTGTGTTGTTTTATTGAGTTCTTGTCTTTCAGGCAGCACTGTACACTAAATTTTTACATATAACACCTCAAAGAAGTGACTTTGACGGCAGCGCTGTTTACCTTTTCTCTGTCTTCGTTGTTTTCACTTACTGTCATGCCATGTAGTCTGACGTTGGCCTTCTGTTCTGCAGCTTCTTATTCAAGCTTTATGTTTCACCTTAAATGGTGCAGCAATGAAAGGTTGAATAAGAAGCTAATTTCAGAAATTAGAGAGGGGTCTGGTGAGTCACTGGTGGGTCCAGCTTTCAAATAAGACATTTCTTTATGCATTTCGCTGTTGTCGGAAGAAAACCTCGTATTTCCATAATGGTAACTTTACAGGAGAAGGAAAAAACATTCTTTACGTCTAATGTAAGTAAATGGAATCAGACTTTTTTCCAAGTCATTTTGGGTCATTTCTTTTGGTCCATTCATCATGCAAATTAGACACAATGTAAAGAGCAACAGGTATTTTCAAATTATGTCAAAAACTAGAAAACAACAAAAATGGAGATATGAGGTTTGCTTCCGACAGCAGCGATATATTCAGATCCAAACATATAAACTGAAGCACATTTGTGCAGAACATGTTCCTCAAATTTGAAATCAGACGTGTGCTGATTTTCTGTCTTTGCTCGCTGAGCTTCTCTACCTGCGTCACTCTGCAGTGTGTCTGTGGTGCGAATTCTCACATCCCTGTCTTCGGTCATCTTGCGTGGTGTGATATAAAATTGTGCTCAGGAAAGAAGTGATTCTGTTTACCTCAAACGGCTCCTTCTTTCAGCCACACAGAGAAGTTTATTCTTGTTTCTGTAGTTCATAGTCATACTGTGCTCTAAACCACGGCGACCTGGATGGTTTGAGCCGGTTGAGAGAAGGTTTGGCATGTATTTTTGGAAACTGTCTGGGATACTGCTTACATTAGCCTTATAGCTCCAGTTCAAAACTAAAGAAGCAAAACTGTGGCACCAAAAATGTCTTGGCTGATTTACTGCATTGGAGTAAATGAAAAATCATGTACATTTTCCAACAAACAATTTTTTAAGTAACCCTTGTTCTTATTGGCTGACCCTTTACAAAACACTGCCATGTATTGTTCCTCAAAAATCATTCCAGACTGAAATGTACAGAGCAAACTTTTTGTTTGGGCTCAAATCCTCAGTGACCTCCAAAAACATAAACAGCCAGTCCTTTCAGTTGAATCCTCCTGGCAGCCAGAGACAGGTATTCTTCAGATCTCTGCTACCAACTGTCTGCAGTAATAACATTCATTACCACGTCAACTTGAATAGGTTGAATAAACCGCTATAGGCCGAATGAGCAGTCATTTGTAAACGTGTGACAGTGTTTACGTGCTACATCAAAGCCCATACCTGTAGATAAAGGTACTGCAGGTTGTGCAGGCCATCGAAAAGGCCCGCAGGCAGGCTCAGGAGGCCGCAGTGGTAGAGGTGGAGCGCATGGAGGCGGTTCAGGCCCTGGAAAGTGTCGGCTGCCAGCGAGCGCAGGTGGCGGTTGTCGCCCAGGTCGAGCTCCTCCAGGCGTGTGAAGCCCATGAAGGTGGAGGGCTGGATGTAGGAGATGTTGTTAGAATAGAGCCACAGCATGACGGTGGTGGGGCTGAAGTGCCCTTGGAGCAGGCGCTGGATCTTGTTGTTCTGCAGAAAGACGCGCTCGCTCTGCGCCGGGATGCCCTCAGGAACCACCTGGAAGTTGTGTGCCTGGCAGCTGACTGTGCTGGGCGAGCTATAGCAGATGCAGTGGCGCGGGCACGACTGTGACAGCTCCAACCCACACAGCACCAGGAGGAACTCCAGACCACAGCCTACACAAAGGCAGGGAGAGAAAAGAGAGGCATTGTGAGTAAAAACAGTAATTCACTGTAGACACACAATTTGGTCATTGCATAGCCCACGCAGCTCGAGCTGCAGGTGCACATTCAACAAACACAAATCAGAAAAAGCAGGTTAGAGACAAAGTTAAAGGGAAATTCCACCCGATTGTTCAATAATTCCGCATAATTGGAATGTTGGGATGTAAACAAAGTTATTCAGAGTGGTTTGATGTGAAATGGTTCATTGTAAGGAAACTTACTGAGTTAGAGATGTTCACAGTGGTGGTGACAGGAATGTCTGAGTGAGACATTGTTCTATGATAGTTCTGAGAATGTTTATGTCTAAAATGAAAGGCGAAACAGTCCTCAAAGAAACGAAAATCAGGTTTTCCACTATACGTTACATAAAACACTTAGAAAACACTTGTAGGTTCACTGGACATTTTGGACAGTAAATGAAATGGCTATATTTGCATTGTCGTGATCCTGATTCCCATCACCACCACTGTAAAGAGCCATTTCACATCAAACCGCTCTGGATGACTTTGTTTACTGTCAACAGTAGAATCATGCAGAAATTTTCCAAAAATCAGTGGAAATCCTCTTTAACCGCTACAAAAGATAGAGCAATTACGTGCAAGCGAGGGAGATAAGGATGAAGATGGGAGAAGAAGGGAGCGAGATATTGGGGAAGAAAAAAGGGAATCAGATATGGTAATGGGATTAGAGGGTTTGGATCTCGCAACAACTGTATCAGCCCCATCTTCGTCTTCCAGATACGTTTGTCAACATAACAATACGAAGGCTTACAGCCCACACAACCACGCTGCTCTCAGTCTGAGGAGTTTTTGTAGCTGCTAGCACTGAATGAGGAAATTTCATTCATTCAGTAGCTCAGGGCCCAACTCCCCTACCGCCATTTACACAGCGTCTCTGAATACCGCACACACGTCGCCTTCAAGGCTGCTGTGAGAGTGTGAGAAATCAGTGGCATAATGCTGAGAGACCACACAACTGCATGTGCATAGCTGCATTCCCTTCTCCCTCAGTATAAAAATAAAATCACCTCTGAACAAGTGAGGCCTCCCGTTAACAGAGAAAGGAAAGAAGAAAGAATGTGTGTGTGTGCGTGTGTGCGTGTGTGCGTGTGTGTGTGCGTGTGTGTGTGTGTGTGTGTGTGTGTGTGTGTGTGTGTGTGTGCGTGTGTGTGTGCATGCTGAGGGGTGGTAATGGAGCCAGGCCAATGAGGATGAAGTCTGGATGAAGGACACTGTTGTATAAATGAGAATAAGCCTGGCTGAGCATCAGTCCAACTCTTTGATGCTGAAATGGAATCTGGAGTGCAGGAGAGGGGAAAAGAAAGGGAGGGGTGCAGAGGTGCACCATGGGAGAAATGTTTGAGGAAGAGTGAAAGGTGAGCCACTGAAGCAGTACAAGAACATCAGGTCTAAGAATAAGATTTCTACACCCAGACACCCCCGTCTAATCAGGAATTCAGCTCGTTTAAAGTCACTCACTGCTGACACAGGTGTTTAATTGTGCACACAAAGCTGCTATAATCTCCACAGAAAAGCACTGAGAAAAGAGTGGGACGCTCTGGAGCAGCTGCCCATGGGCCTAAGGTCAATGCCAAGCATCAACGAGAAGGGTAGCAAGTCCCTCAGCTGGGCTGTGGAGCAGTGGAACTGTGTTCTCTGAGTGATGGAGCTCTGGACTGAGCTGGAGTGGCCTTTGTGAACCAGAACTAATTGTCCAGCATCAGTACCTGACCTCACTAATGCTGCAGTCCATCTGTGTCTCTGCTTCATATGCTGCTTTACCCTGTTCATCACTGGTCAGGACCCCCACAGGACCCCACAGAGCAGGTACTGTTTGGGTGGTGGATCATTCTCAGCACTGCAGTAACACTGACGTGGTGGTGTGTTAGTGTGTGTTGTGCTGGTCTGAGTGGATCAGACACAGCAGTGCTGCTGCATGGGACCTGAAAGCAGCAGGAACAAGAGTTACAAAGAGAACAATCAGCAGTGAACTGCACTGCAGTCTTCTCTGCTCCTAAACTTCAAACAAAACTCCTACAGAACTGCTACAGAAGTAGAGAGGTGCACATCTGAAGTTTCCATTTAGACCCTTTATTCTGGTCAGATGAAATGAAAACAGAACTTTGGTAATAATTCAGTTCATATGCACAGTAAAGTATGGTGGTGGACGTATCATGATATGGGGCTGCTTCTCTGCAAACAGTACTGGGGCATTGTGCACCATTGCAGGAAACATGAATGGAGGGATGTACTGGGAGATATTTGGGCAAACTTTCATTTCAATTTGGCATTTAATTTTCCAAGAAATGGAAGAAGATGGACATTTCAACAGAACAATGACCACAGACATACAGCCGAAATAGCTCGAGTGGTTTCTATAAAAGATTGTGGTGCTTGCGTGGCCTAGCCAATCTCATCACTTCTCAGTCTCATTAAAAATGTATGGAGGATTTTAAAAATGCAAGTCTAACAGAAAAACTCTTGTACTGTTGCGGAATTCAAGACAATTTGCCAAGAGGAATGAGCCAAAACTGAGCCACAGTCCTGCAAGAATATAATTACTTCTTACTGTAGACTCCTCAAAGCTGTAATTGCCAACAACAGCTTGCAGCAAATTACTACGTTATCAGTTTGTGGCGTGGTGTACTTTTCTCCCCTATCAATTTATGTATCTTGTTTATGCTTATGAATACATACTAAGACATCATGAAAATATATTAAATAACAAAAACAAAAGGGTCTCAATACTTCGTTTCCCCTCATTACATATTAGGACTGTTTACACAAACCAGCCCCTCCATTGTTTCTACACTCACTGTCCTTTTATCAGCTCCACTGACCGTATAGTTTCACTTTGTAGTTCTACAGTTACAGACTGTAGTCCATCTGTTTCTCTGATACTTTGTTAGCCCCCTTTTACCCTGTTCTTCAGTGGTCAGGACCCCCATGGACCCTCACAGAGCAGGTACTATTTGGGTGGTGGATCATTCTCAGCACTGCAGTAACACTGACGTGGTGGTGGTGTGTTAGTGTGTGTTGTGCTGGTCTGAGTGGATCAGACACAGCAGTGCCGCTGGAGTTTTTAAACACTGTGTCCACTCACTGTCCACTCTATTAGATGCTCCCATCTTGTCAGTTAACTGTTTGCTAACCTATTCCATTTGCGGTGCTGCAGTGTTACA